TGTGTATTCCTAGAAATTTATTTCTTCTTGATTATCCAGTTTGTTGGCATACAAATTTTTATACTATTTTCTTAGACTCCTTTTATTATTGTGTGTGTGTCTGGGCTGAACATTTACAAACTTCTTTTTTTGTCATTATTCTCTAAATTATATAGCATCACCTATTTACACAGCATTGTATTTGATGTTATAAGTTTACATTGTATTAGATAGTATAATTAATCTAAATATTATTTAAAGTATGTAGGAGAGTACTTATAGGTTATATGCAATTACTTTTTTTTTCTTTTTTTTGAGTCAGTATCACCTCTGACTGGCCTTGTATTCACTGCATAGCCCATGCTTAGGACCAGATGAATAGTAAAGGTCAAAGCTGAAACATAGGGGAATGGTGTCAACAAAACAGCAGAATAGCAAGGCCAACTCTTACTATATAGAAACATAAACTTAACAAAGATATATAACCAAAAAGTCTCTGTGAGGAGTCCAGAATCCAGTTAAGATGCAGTGCTCCAGGTAAGTGCAAAACCAAGAAGACATGGGAACAAATGAGAACGATTTTATGCTATTCACGTCAGTCCCTCCCTCACGCTGACAGCTCAGCACCAAGAGATGTCATCTTGGCCTGGGACTTTATCCTTGACTTAACCAAGGAACTGAACTGTCTCACTTCAGAAGAAGTAAGGATGGAACTGGTATAGTTCAGATGCCTCAGACCTGTTAAGAACAAAGGATTAAGAGTGGTGACTTCTACACCCAGCACAGCTCTGTGAGTCTGTAAATGTACAGCTTTGGGGCATCACCCTTACACTCTGTGCAGAGGAATGGAGCAGGCCTTCAATCACAGACTTTCATTGTGCTGTCTGAAGGGCCAGTTTCACCCCTACTGCATATATCCATGCCAGGACAAACCATCACAGAACAGATACCGAGGAGAATTAAGAAGAAAAGGAAAAGGGTTGCAGAATAGTTATTTCCTGTATTTGTGGAGCAATTAAATTTCCGTTTCTTTGGGATCAATTATTAGAAATAATGTTCCTTTGATTGCATCATGTTTCCTTAGTTCTTTGTGCCCCCTTGTAACTTTGTACTGGTATCTGTACATGTAAAGGACACACTGCCTCTCCTCGTTTTTGTGAACTAGCTCTTCCAAGAAAAGATACTCACCAGTCAGTCAGCTTTCTGTGGACATGTCTTCTCTGGGTGTGCATATGGATTCCTATTTTCTATTTCATTTATTTTACCCATAATCATGTAGCAGTTCCTCAGGCATGCCAGGTTGTTTTCTAACTTTGCTTCTCTTCCTCTAGATCATTTGGGGATTTATTAAAGACCAGAAATGCCTTATAAAGTAGCAGGTTTTTGAAGATTAAGATCATAGACCTTCGAGACAGCTTTTTTGGGTGTAATTCCAGCCCTGCCCATTTTTAGGTCCTTAACTTTTGGCAAACTACTTACCTGTGCCTGAATTTATTCATTGCTAAAATGGAGGCGAATCATTTCTAGCTGCATTGGGATATTTTGAGGATTAAATAAATTAACCTATGCTAGTCTCTTAAAGCAATACCTGTAACAAAGTGATTGTTAGATTGAAGAAATTGGACTGTAGGTAACAGTGGTCTTGGAGGAACAAACAAAGGCAGGGGTGTAAGTAGCAAAGATTCACAGACTGTCTCTTTGCCAATAAATAACTTCAGCTGCATTCTGCCCTGTAGTCTTTCCTTCAGATGAGTTTCTAGAAATACCCAATAGACTAAGTTTGGGTCAGATATACACCCCTTAGGGGACCATTAATCAGCAAAGCAGTACTGGCCCTCCAAAAAAATCAGCTGCCCATTGGGTTCACCACTGAATGGACAGACTTTATCAGGCTGCATTTCCTGTGCCTTCCCTGACTGGTTCCATCACAGCCTCCGTGTTTGCTGTGCCTCTCACACAAGTCTCTGTGAAGCCTTGACCACATAGCTACAGTTGTATCTCAGTAAGTCTGCCTCTGCTCCTCATTTGGCAAGCAGGCTGCATTTCCTGTGCCTTCCCTGACTGGTTCCATCACAGCCTCCGTGTTTGCTGTGCCTCTCACACAAGTCTCTGTGAAGCCTTGACCACATAGCTACAGTTGTATCTCAGTAAGTCTGCCTCTGCTCCTCATTTGGCAAGTTCTCTTAGAGTCAGGAACCAGGCTTCTGTTATTTTAAATTTAGAATACAGGGCCTGACGAAGAAGAGGCATTTAATAAAAGTGAAATTATTCTTAAATCCGTTCTTCCTTGGCTGCCCTGTTTGCTTCCCTATGAGGCTGGCTCTCATAGACTTGTGACACTTTCCAGGTCAATATTATCAAGCTGAGTGGTAATTAAAACTCCAGAAAAACTCCATGCATTCTGTAAGATTAGAAGAACAAGTGCTTAATATACTTTCTTTGCTAACATAGGCAGTCCAAGAGATAACTTTGTCTAATAAAATTGTTTTGTTGAAAATAGAGGGTGGATAACAAAGGTTGGAAAATTCAATCAAACAGCAGTAGCAGAATTAGTACAGGAGAGGAATTATAAGTGGTATTCTTTTGTTTGTCTGCTCTGCGTTCATCTAATCTAGTGCTTCTTAAACAGAGGTGATTTTGTCTTCAAGGAGACATTTGGCAGTGTCTGGAGATAACTAGGAGGGATATGTGCTACTGGCATCTATTGGCTAGGTGCCAAGAGCGCTGCTGGCCTCCTACTAAGCACATAGTAGCTCCCTATGCCAAGGGGTTACCCAGCTCTAAGTATCAGTAGTGTGGACACAGAGAAACACAGTCTAATCCTTAGTTTCCTCCTCAGCATTGCTCCTGTAGAAAAGCAGAGACAGTGGGAATGAGGTGGGTAAATTAAGGTTGGCTGGTTGTTGTGAGTGCCCATGAGTATGCAGCTACCTGAGGCCTGTAAGAAATAGTTGTTTCCTTCCTTCTTAGTCCAGTTAGGACACATCTTGTTCATTCAGAGGAAAGCAGTAAGGGGTGGTGCCAAATTGCTTTATGACAAAAGAAAAGATTATGGCATCTTGGGCAGTGGCAAAGGTTTGGAAAGTAGGATAATTCCAAGCATTTGGGAAGAGTTTGCTGGAAGAGAGGAATTGTGTGTAGAGTGGCTCTCAGCGAAACAATAATCTCTTTCCTAATGTGGCATACAGAGCAGAGCGTGTGTCATTTGCACCTCGTCCTTAGGTTTGGAACCCAAGTTGGGAAACATTTACCCATTTAAACTATCATTTTGGTCCTTTGTTTCTTTTCCTCTATGTACTGTTCATGGAACATCCCATACTTCCCCTTTGGTTCATTGGTGAGCTCCTGAGCTCCAAGTTTTCCTCTGGAGACTGCATTTTGTCACTGTAAATCCCAGAAATGTTTCAAGTGTCACCAGTTCTGCAAGTGAGCTCATATATCCTTGATTCATCCTTTGGCACTAATGTGCTTCTTATTTCTTCTTCATCTTAGTCTATTTGTTGTTGTTTTACCAGCCATTGGCTAGTCAGGAAAAAGATGAACAACATATTCCTTCTTACCAGGGTATTCTGCACGGTGGATAAGGTGGACACACGAATTGGCAGTTAAATACAAAACTAAAGCGACTGAGTTGTGTGTAAGATACATGAGAATATAAGAGGGTATGCCTGGTGTTATCCTGGCTCAAAGAAGGGATAAGGTGGATGGAATCAGTGAGTTTTGGAGGAGATGGTGCATGAGCTGATTGTAAGAAGGATGGATAGGAGATCACCAGAGGAAGAGAAGCAGGAAAGAACATTCCAAGGAACTTTGTCTTTCAAAGTCTGGAGGTAAAACAAAACATGTACAGGAATGGCTCACATTTGGGGCTGTGGAAGCACAAGGTGCCAAGTGAGGAGTGAGTGGGAATACAGAGGTACTCACCCAGGCTCCAGATGCCGTCCTTTCTGGCTGCATAATCCAGATGCAGTCTGTTCCCAGTTTAATAATGCTGCTGTACTGTTTTCTCCAGGATCTATTTGTTCTTCCCATCCTCTTAGAATATCCTCTCCCTTTTGGGCCCAGATGCCCTAGCCAGTGAGAATGCCAGACATTTGCCCTCACAGTCTTGTTGTCAGTCTGTGCTTCCTTCCAGGCACATTTGCCCTTGCTCTGAGAGTCTCTGCTCTGTGCCTTCATCTCACTAGCTGTTCATTATCAACAGACAGCCTATTCTTGCAGGGCCCCATTCACTTGATGTTCCTGTTCCCATGGCTTCTACCATTCAAATTCTCCTTCTCCCCAAGCTACTATCTTCCCTCTATACAATCATAGTACTTTGTCTTGTGTTATGATAGAGATAACATACGCCCTGAGAGTCACACTTAACCTGGGCTCAAGATCAGTCTGTTACTTATTAGCAGTGTCATTCTGGGCAGATGAGCCCAGAATATTATCTTTCCTCTTCATCTGTACTTAGCTGCCGTGTTATTCTGTGTACTAATCTCTGTGAATGGTGGAATAGGCTTGTAGTTCTTTAACAAGAGTTTTGGTAACTAGGGAATTTTAATTGCTTATAAAATTGTAGTGGTAGTCCAGGCCTTATAGTAGGTGCAATGAGTAAACGTCTCTGGTAACTGACCGTTTTGGTTCTAATACTATTTCCTGACTACACAGATTACTCACCCACTGTAGTTAGTACATGGACTAGTTACTCAACTTCTCTGAGCCTGTTTACTCATCTGTGTTTATGAGAATGATGATAATAATTCCCCATAGAGCTTTCTTTAATAGGAATGAAATGATTGAAAGCCTATAAAACATGCTTAGGTAAGACATGTTGTAGTAGTCATTACTGGATTTGTACACTTACTTGAGACAGAGCCTGCTGGCCTGAACTGTGTGGATGCTTATTTCCAAGCCCGATTTTCTCCTTTCATTTCTTTGCATTCCTTAAAGATCTCAGTTCTTGGCACTAAATTAGCTCTTTGGTGACTTTATAAGTCTTTTGGAAAACTGACTCTTTCATTTGTTCCCCAAAGGTTCCTGGAAGCTATGGCTAGTGCTCTGACTGGTTGTCTTCATCACATGTCTTCTGAAAACTTATTGAATGCCTTGTATTCATTTTGCATAATGAATTATTTTCCCCTGGCCCCTCTTAATCAGCTTCTCAAAAACAACGTCATCAATGAGCTGCTGACATCAGGTAGTGTATCACCTTGAAATTCGGAGTGAATTTTAGAGCAGTATTAGTTAAAATGTGCAGAACAAATATTACTAAGAACAGCTGATAATGAACAGGAAGCCCGTAGAGCCTCCTTGAGTGGCATATCTACTTACAGGGGAAGGAATGAGGACTGCTGAATCATTCTTTTGACCTGGGCTGGACACACTTGTACAAATTCAGGATTCAAATTGTTCTCCATGCCTCGATCAGAGGTGTTTATATTTCCTAGCTTTATTTAATACCATTACATCACCTTTTGCAGCTGTAAACACTTAGTCACTCATGGCCTATAGTGAGGACAGAGTCCGTTAGATTAAGTAACCAAATAGGTCCCAAATTCGTGAATTTATTTATTCTTAGAACCAAATTAGTCAATTGACTTTTAAATGAAGAAAAGCAGTATTTGGGTAAATATACAAAATTTGATAATGTGTTTGAGAATAAAGTAGCTATAATTCATTTTATAAACAATGGTACAAAATCTCACTGAGTTGTGATGAGCCAGCACCATATGCTGATTTTTGAAATGTTGGAGACTAGCCTTGGCGACCTGATTCTAGTCACAACTTCTTGGGCATTCCACTTCTAGAAAATGAGTTTAGTCCAAGTCACTTCTAGTGGCATCTTAAAGTTTGAAATATTGATCAGTACAGGTTATTACTCTAGACATTGAAAACCAGGGAGACATTGAAAGAGTCCTTGGGGTTAAAAAGAGACAGTTAAATGGAAGGGGGAGGGAGAGGGAGAACAAGTGAAAGTAATCCAGGTGAATGTGGTCCATGTTCATCTTTTCTATGATGCAAATGTAATATAACACATTATTAATGTACATTAAGTAAAAAATATTTTAAGAAATCAGAAATATATATTAATATAATTTTTAAATATGGCATTAATTTGAGTCATGCATTTTTTTAGGTGACGTAAAGAAGAATGTTCATAAACTTCATGTTTTGAATACTTGTCTGGAGCTTGACAATACTGCTTATCACAAGGCTGTACACATACCATTGCCCCAGCCGCCACCACCATTGCCATTGTACCAAAACCCAAAGATTGAAAAGGCGCTAAGCAGAATTCTGGGAGGGGAAGGAGGCTTCTCAAAAAATGTGCAATTACCACATAATTATCACATTGGTATGGGATTCTCTTTATTTGGTTTTATTTATTTATTTATTTTTTATTTTCACTTTGTTCTGAAGGCTCATGGGCCATAGTGGAATGAGGGGTAGAGAGAAAACTAGTGCATCCCTCAACTCTCACCAGTGAAGCTTCCTTATACAACAGAGTAGAATGCACACAGAAGGCCACAACTGGCCAAATTTTAAAGAATAGAAGACTGCAGAGTGTGTGTCCCAGGATAGGACTCCTGTATAAAACCTCACCCACCCATGACTCAGGAACCATTGTGGAAGAGGGGTTGGAAAGATTGTAAGAACCAGAGCAGGTTCATGAACATAGACACGGAGAGGCTTTCACATGTGACTGGAAGCTTGCACATGTGACTTGTAGCAATGGTGGCGTCCCGCACAGGACCCTTGCCAACTCAGTCAGACAAAGGCTCAGAGTGGAGTGAGAGAAATGGGTGGGCCAGTCCTAGATTGGGAACTGTTGGAGACTGATTACTACCTGGTGAAGGAGAGTATGCCTTACAATCTCTAGATAGACTCCAGGGGATAAATTTGCATTGAAGGACATCTGGGTACAAATGCTTGACTGAATAGGACTTAACATATATGGTGGAATACATGAGATCTGGGGGCATGGATTGGGGAGGGGTTCTAAATTTGATTTAGAACTGTTGTATGAAATGCACAAAAGCTCAATTAAAAAAAATGGAAAAAAAAAAAAAGAATTTACTACAACACATTAGCACGGTGTGGTCATGGACCTAGACTGCCTAGGTTTGGATTCTTGCTTTATCGTTTCTTAGCACTGTGACTTTAGAAATGAACCAAGCCCAGTTTCTTTGTCTGTAAAGGGCAACTACAGTAGTACTCACCTCACAGAACTCTCGTGACTCATAAATGGAATCCCTAGTTGTGTTCTCAGCTTGTTTCCTAATTGCCATCCTCAGTCTGATGCTAATGGTATTAGATTTTTTAATACAGAAAATCACTTTGAGCAGTGTTTAAGAAATACTTTAAGAGCAATGCTTTTTTCTCTTTCAGACTTTGAAATCAGGATGGACACTAACAGGAGCCAAGTGTTTTCATTTTCTGATGGAAATGAAGCTTCTGCCACAAACATGCAAAGGTTGCTTACATGTGTTTACTTGCTGAGCTTTCCAAATTTCAGTTTTAGTTAAGAAAGACTTCATATTAAATAGCAGTAACAAAATATCTTGTTTGTATGGAGCTTCTAACATTCCAGGGACCTTCTTATGCATGAATCTGCTGCCTGGTGTAAATGTGCTTATGGTTGGATGCAACAGAGTTGGGATAGTTATTGAACTATCTTTATCTATTCTTTAAAAATTAGGGTTTAGGGGATGGAGAAATGGCCCAGTGGTTAAGAACACTAGCTGCTCTTGCAGAGGACCCGGGTTCAGTTTCCAGCACCCATATGATGGCTAACAACTGTCTATGACTCCAGTTACAGGGGATCTGATGCCCTCTTCTGGTCTCCACAGGCATTGCACACACATAATGTGTGTGTGTGTGTGTGTGTATATATATATATATATATATATATATATATATATGGGCAAAATACTCAGACATACAAATAACTAAATTAAAAAAATTTTTTAGCTAGGATTTAAAGCTAAACAGTTCAGTAAGATGATGTTTAATTGAAACCATCAGTGCAGTATAAGCTTCAGACAAGATAACAGTGACCATAAAGACGAGGCATCAATAGAAATAAAATACCCAATAAATATTTTTACTCTGCCCCCAACTCCTTTCGAAAAAAGGAAATACTGGCTTTTTAATTAACTGATACTGCATATGGGTCAGAGCATATTGAAGCTATTCCAAGTCTTTTTCCTTCATCACATATTATATACAGTGCCATACTATCAGAGAGGGTCCTGCCTGTTGAGTAGAAGCATAAGATCATGGAGGTACTGCACGCGCACCTCTGTTAAGTCAGCCTTTGTGGAAAAGCTCTGCTAGACCTGTGGGGCACACAAAGATGAAATCAGATGTGGGCTCTAGCCCCAAAGAACTGATGCCCTGTGACACTCCTGGACATGTAAATAAATACAGTGGAGAGGTACAAAAAATACCTGTAGGGATTTGGACTCTTGTCTACCCAACCCTGTCCATTCATACAGAGTTCTGTGGCTTTTTCCCTTTTTGAATCCATCTGGCATATTCGTTGGTCATCATTTTAAGTGCTGCCTTTTACCTGTGTTACCCAGGTTCCCCCAGAGAAGCCTTCTCTTACCCCCTTAAAATCTCATTTTTCTTTTTTAGGTAATCTGTTCCCATATAAAATAATAATATAGTAGTTCTTAGCATAAAGTACTGGGAAGTGAAAAATCACTCTTCGAAAGTATAGAATTGCTCTTGTAAAAGGCAGTGTCCAGAAGACAATAGGACATAAGTGTCTTTTGTTCTTTTTTTTGTCCCCTCTCAGTGAGCTCACTTCTAGAATACAGAGAAAGATGCCAGTCAAATCACCCCTTTCACTGTTTTGTTACAGACTCTCCATTCTGAGTGGCCTTTATTTTAGGGGTTTTTTTTGGCCTCCCTTCTGGTTTTTAAATGTTGCTCTCTGTGCAACAGTGCAAGAAGAGCGCATTACCGTTTGCTGTGGCCTACCCCAGCATCACCCGGGAACCCTTACAATGGATGTTTTCATATCTGAAATATTTCCTTCTCAAACCATAACCTTTCTTAAAGATGGCTGATGGATAATTGTGTAAACATTATGCTGGGTTTGGGTTTACAAAGTAGTGTCTGTACATTGCGGCATCTGCAGAGGCCAAGTAACAGAAGTTAAGGACTGAGGGATGGTGAGAACCATGATCTGTGAAGAGTTCAACCCGAAATCTCTGAAGAGCAAGAATGCAGCGAAAATGTAAACGCAAATCTTTGTCACTATTCCGTTCTTTTTCTTTTCAGAGGAGCTGTGCTGTGTGTTCCTAAATGTGTTTATTGTTTGAATTCAAGCCACCCCAGGGGATTGTTTGCTGTGAAAATGCGACATTTGAATGCAATGGGTTTTCATGTAATTTTGGTAAGTAAGAAATGAAAATGAAATATTTCTTTTATTAATGATGTATATTCTCCCAACTACTGGAATGTTGTGGTTGAATTGGTTACTGAACTCCATGGGAACTATAAGCATCATTGGAATAAGTATTTTGGCTATTGTTTTCTTTGAAAAGAAACATTTCTAGTCCATGGTTTGGCCTCTACGCAGCTGGGTGTTATCATTTGCTAGGGAGTTTCATCAGTGTGATCTGGTCAGCTTTAATCCCCGTTTTCATGAAGAAGAATATAAATAATACCTCTTCTTACTGAATTTAAGACACATGAAACCATTTCCAGTTTTCAGATTATCTTAAACAGGGGAAGAAAAGACGTTAATAGTTTTATTTTCTGGGCTGATGTAGACTGCTGTAGTGTGCTTGTCTCCTGGATAGCTGGAAGATGGATTTTCCTTGTTCCTCTCAGGCTTCCCTTTGGACCTCAGCACCACAGCTTTTCTTGAAAAACCTTTCCAGATCTCTCTTCTATGGGAACCTTATGATAATATTTGACTCTATCTACATACACCTGGTCCTTCTCTCTATGAAGTGTAAACACTGGGATCTTCCATTTTTGTACTTCAGTATCCAAAAGTGATTTATGCATGGATTGCTAAGATTTGATATGGTCTCTTTTTCCTAATGCGCTATTTAAGATTTTGGAAACCAAAATGCCCCAAGAAAATAATCTTCGCACCATTTAGAAAGCCTCTACGTTTTTCACTGTTACTGCTTTTCCAGCCCTAGCACACATCCTTATTAGGCTTAAAATATAAATGTTGGTTGCCATGACATTTACTTTTGGAAAGCTGACTTGATGCTACTTTGATGGGTTCAGATTTCTGAACTATCTTTTATTTTATATGTTATCATTTTCTCACAGACTGACTATTTTCCTCTTTTTCTGGGAAGGTCCATAACTGGGAGCTGAAGAAACTAAAGCTGGAGGATGCAGTCACATTATTGAAGAATAAAATCTATTCAGTTGAAGCTCATCCTACTAATATAAATTTGGAAAGCACAAATTAAAGTAAAAAATGAACCTTCTCATATTTGGACACATGCATTTCTTAAAATGACTTTAATAAAGACTGTAAATCTGTTCTCAATGAAATTAGCCTGACTGCTCTCTAAACAGAGCCTGGTATTCAGTTCATTGTTAAAGATTACCTTAAGAGTGAAAGAAGGAGGCTGGGTGTGGTGGCACACACCTTTAATCCCAGTGCTCAAGAGGCAGAGGCAGGTGGATCTCTGAGTTTGAGACCAGCCTGGTCTACATAGCAAGTTCAAGGCCACCTAGGAAGGACTACATGGCAAGATGCTGTCTCAGAAATAACTAAATAAACAAAAGAATGGAAGGATTATCACTAGCATTTTAGAATATGCTGAAAAAAATCCAGTAGAGTCATTTTCCCAACTATAGCTGTCCTTTTATTGCCCAGACATTTGATAAATTCATGAGCTCTCAGTTTTCTTTTTCTCATTAGTTTTCATCTATTAAAATCTGGTTTCTTAGTTGCATTGTGATAGGTCACAGGTAAGTTGGTATGGGCAGTCCTTTGTTTAGAATACATGTTTATACTTTTACTGTAAGCTGTTCTGAGACTAAAGATTGTACCTCAGATCATTCAAACAGTGGCCAGTTAGTCTCTCAGATAATAGAGTGTGCAAGAATTAATGAGGTAGCATGGTATAAGTGGATGAAAAGCCTGGGGAAATGGTTCAGTGGTTAAGGTCCTTGGTGCACAAATCTAAGGACCTGAGCTTGGATCTCCAGCATCCATGTAAAAACCAGGTTGCTGTGTGGATCTGTAACCTGTGTGCTGAGGGAATGGATTGGGATGGGGCAGTTGGGAGACAGATGGACCCTGGCAGCAGCGCTAGCCAGCCAGCCTAGTGGAAATGGCAAACTCAAGGTTCAGTGAGAAACTGTCAAAAATATGAGGTGGAGAAATGACTGAAGAATCTTGACATCAGCCTCTGGCTTCCATATGCGCCCACACAGGCACTTGCCCCCACTTCTCCATATACTTACACACATGCACAAAGTAGATGAGGATGTATGTGCATTCCTAACAAGCACCACAAGTAGAGGTTCTTCATGGGCTGTAACAGGAGAAACACAGATGAGAAGTGATTCACATTTATCTAACTTTTTGCCACTTTTGAGGTTATTCCTTTCTCCTTACTGCTCACCATTTCATTAGCTCTTTTAAATTAAATATATAATTAAACTGTGAATTAGGTATAAATACTATTTTTTAAGTTACATCTGCTCATTCTTTTGTTCAGATATTTGTTCACATTCAAATATTTTGTTCACTATGCCTGCTATCCATTGTCTCGCTGGGATACATTGGAGACTTGTAGAACTTACAGTATGTGTTCAGTGCAAATTGGTATTATTCTACCCCCAAGTATCCAAGACATGCAAATAGTACATATCATACTATTTATGTAGCGTGACTAAGTATTTGTATATATTCTCCCTTCATTAGTTTAAAAGCCCTTTTATGGTGCACACCTTTAATCCCAGCACTCGGGAGGCAGAGGCAGGCGGATCTCTGTGACTTCAAGACCAGCCTGGTCTACACAGTGAGTTCCAGGACAGCTGGGGCTACAGGGAGACCCTGTCTCAAAAAGACCCAAAAAAAGCCCTTTAAAGCATACTGTTCTTAGGATCCTCTATGGGTTTTCATTTCTTCCTCTCTAGTATGTGGATAAGTTATTTGTCAAGACTGCAGGTAAGAAGGCAGGGCTAAGGTTTGAATGTGAGCTGACATGAGTTTATGGAGGTAATTGACAGCTGTCTAATTGGACTTCAGGCCTGCCTGATAGAGAACCCATGCGTGGTACTGTAGGCATAGTCAAGTACATGGTTGGAGAGGTCACAGACCCCAGAGAAGAACCTGCTACTGCCACTTTCCTAAACCAATGTAATTTACCATATTCTAAACACATACCCTTACATTCATAGACAAGTGTAGCTCTCTCCACTCAGCAAAGAAGCTTCGTTTTGCAACAAATGGAGGCTATTACAAAGTTCCACAACTGATGAAAATGCAGATAGTAAGTGACTGTGTGGTGCCTAGTCTGATACATCTACAATGCAACCTATACACCTAAGGCTCAGGAATCATTGCAGAAGAGGGGACAGAAAGATTGTAAGAGCCAGAGGAACAGGATACCTGCCGCTAGATAATACATTATAGATATGCTAGGGAAGCTGCAACTAGGAAACCTCCGTGAATGTTTGCCTAAACAAGATCTGTGTAATGACAACACCAGTTGACATGCCAGTGTGGCTGGAGGAAATTTTCACAGGGTCCCTCTAGATGAAGAGCTGTAGGCAATCAGTGAATCCTCAGGGGAGGGACAGTCACTTTTTTCCAGGGATGAACTCTAATCCCAAGTGATCAGCCCCGAACACATGTACACAGGAGCACCACTAAATGAACCCTGCACTGCGTGTGTGCATGTATGTGTGTGTGTGTGTATAAATGTATGTATAAATAAGTTATAAAGATGAGGACAAGAAACTGAGAGGGCGTTCCACAGGAACATGGGTGGAATTGAAGAGGGCGGAGTGGGGGTGGAAGTGATGCAAAGACAGTACTGTTCTATGAATTTCTCAAAAACATTTTTTTTGATCTCAGATTCCCTCAGCTGCCCAGTTGAAACTGCAGCAACATGACAACAGCTTTCAGCCTTTGACAGTGTGTCTGGCTGAAAGGAAATTAGAGATGACTGAGTAGACCCTCCTCATTTTATAGATGAGGAAGTTAAGGCTCTGGGAGTTTTACTTTTTCCAAGTCTCAGTCACACTTTGATTTTCATGCTGATTCACTCCTGCTGCTCTGCAGAACCTGCCCCTGGAGGTCTGGCTTCTGGCTTCAGCCTTGACATTATTCAGCTTGTGTATTGGCCAAGTGATTTAACCTTTATAAGCCTCTAAATGAGATAAAAATATTCTGTTATTAAGGAAACTAAGGTTCATATTTTAAATGTTTAAGTGTGTTATCAGTTTTTTCAGTGGCTAGTTATGAAGCATACTCAAAGGATTTGTCAAGTTTATGGAGACTTATCTATCCCCACTATTTGGAGTAGGAATTTTAAGTTTGAGCTCACTGGCATACATGCAGGTGGAAAGCATTCCTCTTTTACTAGCATTCCTTATCACAGATGTAGAACTGAGCTGATTATGAGCAGTTTCAGCCTAGTAGTGGACAGGTACATTCCAGTAACTATACTCTTTACCTTTGAAATGAGCAGTGTTTTATTTTTGTTTAAGAATTACAGTGCTGAGGAATGTGTAATGACCAAACACATATATATACATGACTTCTGAAAGGGTCCTCTGTCTTTGCCATTCCCATCTCTTGGAGACCACATTGAGAATGATGGTGTTTCCATAGCTCTAGTTGCAGAGTACTTGAAGTGACTATTTGAGGGTAGGTAGAAATAAAGCCCAAAGTGTCAGAGAAGTTACTAGATACTGCTTTTGTGACATTTCCAAGTAAGTTTATATAAAGAACCCTTAATGAAAGGCTTTTCTTTTCTTTCTGCATAAAATTATGAAGTATGAAATGGCCGTATGCAATTCTTACACAAGACACTTCAATACATTCTTCAAATTCTTGGCACTTACCATTGACATGAAACTTCATTTATAAAAGTACCTGAGGAGGGAGGGGATGGAGAGGATGCTCAGTGGTTAAGAGCACTGGCTGCTCTTGCAAAATTATGAGGTATGAAATGGCCGTATGCAATTCTTACACAAGACACTTCAATACATTCTTCAAATTCTTGGCACTTACCATTGACATGAAACTTCATTTATAAAAGTACCTGAGGAGGGAGGGGATGGAGAGGATGCTCAGTGGTTAAGAGCACTGGCTGCTCTTGCAGAGGACCTGGGCTTGATTCCCAGCATCCACTGGCAGCTAACAACCTTCTGTAACTCCAGTTCCAGGGAAATTCTACATCCTCATCTGACCTCTGTGCGCATTGTGCAACACAGGTTCACTTACATACATGCAGGCAATACACTCAAACACATTTTTTAAAAAAGGTCCCTGAGGAAATAGTTTAGGGCATTTTAGACACCATTCAAAGCTGAAAATTACATTCATAGCCTGATGGCTCTTCTTTTTATATTGGAAAAAATGTACTATTGTTATTTTTATATGTAGTGGTACAGATGAAACAAATGCACTTCGATTTTTAAAAAGCAAGTATTTCCAATTAGGATCTAATTTATGACAATTTCTAAGCAAATAGAAGTATCCATAAGAGATTTGAGGCATCTACTGCAGTGTATCTATAAGAAACTGGTATTCCTCAAACTGCACTTTGCAGAAATTACCTGGCTGCTGGAGGATCCCTTGTCTGTGATGGCCAGGGGCTCACTCAGCAGCTGGCTGCTTGTGCAGCTGCTCAGGTGTTAGGCTTGGCTTCATGTGACAGCACAGCACAGTGTAAGGGCCCTGTGCTTCTCATATTCATATGGACCATCACACCCCATCCTGTTAGATCTAGGTAGCTGTAGGTTAAGAGGTTACTACCAAGAGTGGTTTGGCTACCCAGCTTTTTGGCTACCCTAAGGCTGAGAAGTTAGATATATTGACATACTTGTGACCCATTTTTAAAAATATGCCTGTGCCCAGAAGCCAGTCTATATTTTACAGATTCCCTGCCAATGAATGCTTTTTCCCTTTTTGTATTATTAATAATTTTTTTCAATGTATATTTTAATTGATTTTTTGTGCATTTCATAAAAAACATCTTAATCATCTTTATACCCCACCCCCCATCCACATTCCACATACCCCTCCCCACAGGATTTCATGCATTCTGTCATATATGTTAAGGCCTATCAAGTCATGTTTGTGTACCCAGATGTGCCTCAGTTCAAGTTCATCCACTGGAGCCTAGTCAGCCTATCTAGAGTCTCTCTCAAAAAAGATCAGCTCTCATCCAGCAGTAATCAGCTGCCAATAGTTCTTCTGCTAAGGTTGGGACCTGCTTCCCATTTCCCTAGTTCT